CAGCAACAACAACAACAACAGCCGAGCAAGCAGGATGGTATGTCTATTGATCACATAGTTGACATACTCTATCACAGGATGGTAGAGTACAATAGTAGACATTTTGATGACATCAACAAGAGGCTAGACTCGCTAGATGTATCTGTTAGAGAAATTAAGGACAATATAGCATGTCTAGCGAAACAACAATTACAGCCAAAGCCAGTGCCTGAGGAAGAACTTGACCCAGAGGTTCAGCTTGAGCATGAGGCAGAACTTGAACCTCAGGTTCAGCTTGAGCCTAAGGCTGAACTTGAGCCTCAGGTTCAGCTTGAGCCTGAGGCAGAACTTGAGCCTCAGGTCCAGCAAGAGCCTGAGGATCAGCTTGAGCAACAGGTTCATTCAGAGCCAGAGTCTAAATCGAAGAATGAAAAGCGACTTAAGAGGCCCAGCAAGTATATTGAGTCGCCTTACACAGATCCCCTGCGTAACGTGAAGAAGAAGATGTGGACCTTTAACGATGCTGTCGAGGCCTTCAACAAGTGGTTCGCTGATTCTAGTACGGACTCTGAGCTGATTGAGTGCGGTTTTGGAGATTGGAGGAAGGACTTCTTCCAGATCATCTTGAAGCCAGGTGAATGGCTGTTCAATGAAGTAAGTAATCACAACATATTTACTAAATTTATAGTCTTATTTTTTATACCATTATCATTATACTGAATTAATTTTTTATGACTTATAGCAAATTGACGAGGCATGGGGTCTTCTATCGATTAGAAGGTCAAGGGCACCTGAAGGGCAGCTCAATAACAATGTTGTCATCCTAGATGATATATTTTGCCAAAAGTTGAGAGCGTGATTCTACATCAATAAAAAGAAATTGGCAACATATACGATTGACAACGACCTAGATGAATATGTCTGTGGACAAAAGCGCATAATTGGCCAGAAATGGGATGGCGCGCAGGGCTTCACTATGCCTTTTAACATTGGGAGGAAGCATGGGGTTGCGCTTTATGTTGATTTATCTGAATTCAATGCCAAAAGTTGAGAGCGTGATTCTACATCAATAAAAAGAAATTGGCAACATATACGATTGACAACGACCTAGATGAATATGTCTGTGGATAAAAGCGCATAATTGGCCAGAAATGGGATGGCGCGCAGGGCTTCACTATGCCTTTTAACATTGGGAGGAAGCATTGGGTTGCGCTTTATGTTGATTTATCTGAATTCAACATAAAGGTGTATGACTCAGCTGTAATGATGTACAGAGATCAACAGATGCAAAGATAAGTGGAGCCAATCGCTGTCATGATGCCCAAGTTCTTGAAGTACACAGGTTTATTCAACCATCTAGGCGATAAACTTGACTGTGAGTGGCCAATCGTTCGTCCCAAGTGGTTGGTCCACAACCTTAGATCAGGTGACTGCGGACTTTTCACATACAAATTTATCGAATACCTTGTCCGCAGAATCCCGTTAGAAGAACTCG